GCGAATGTAAGAGCACATCATCCAGCCCTCTGTATACAATTCTTCACTGTTATGCACTAAAATGCATAACAATGTGCTCTTTTACAGTGAAAACAAAGTTTCACTGGAAGAGAGTGAAAGGTAGACACTACAAGAAGTCAGACCAAAGAGTGAAAGCTCCCTGATGATGACCATGTGGAAATGAAGACAGTCTCTGGTAAGTCTCCAGAAATGTGTTGAGACCACAGTTTGTTTCATGAAACATAATTCCTTGTATATCTGCAAATCACTGCCTTCCTTCAGGTAGGTATCTGTTATTTGTGTTTGATTTAAGTGTTGTTAAAAGGTTCAGGGCCAGAGTTTTATGAAACAGAAGAAATATTTCCTGTGCATTTTGACAGCATCCGGTTGACTAGAGGCACAACGATATGATGAAGAAACATAGAGAGAAAGCTAGCTAGCTGCAGCTAGTCACGTCTTCTAACTCATAAACATTTAAATAAATCAGTGGAAGTGAGAGTTGAAAGTACAGTGCTTATTACCTTCCAAAAAGAGAAGAAAAGAAAAAGCAGGAAATGTGGAGCAGGAATGTGACATCATGTTTGAGGTATTTTAAAAATATATCATGAATATATTAATTTTTTGGCTGTATCACCCACCCCTTGCATGAACATAATAAAGTATAACCAAAGTTATTGTTAAGTTAGGTAAGGTAGTTTATCCCTGGGTAAAACTGCAATAACACGACAAATAAAAAATATAGATATGTATTTCTAACTAAATTTGTTCAAATTCTGCATAAAAACACTAAGACTAAACTAAATATATTTTTAAAGGATTTTACTTCTTTATTAGAAATCTTTTTTTTTTAAATAAAGGCTTTCTTGAGTAAGGTTCTGTCTCCACAGTATTTATCAGTTTTCAGGGGGAACCAGCAGTGTCTGTTTCTGTTTATGTGATTCACAGTGATGGGTCTAAGGCTTGCTGAATAGCTGATAAAGATGACAACTGGAGAAAGCCTTTACTTGAAATATGTCATAATCATGACAGTTAAGTTTGCATTTTGGCAGCTTAACGCTGCTTTAACACCAAGTATTTCACACTTGTTCTGCCCGCCTCCGTGTGCTGTATGTCCATTATTTTAGAGCACTGAGCCGCTTGCTTGAATCTTAAACTGAATCGTAAATCTTCTTTCTGGGCAGCATCACTTTTCATTGCAGATAGTGTGCTCCTTGTGAGGAAATCTGTCTAGAAAATTACTAAACACAGCTTAAAAGCTAAATGTACCTTGGGAAGAGTATGGATTGATGCTGCTTAAGTATAAAATTGATTTGAAAGAATCTTAAATGAATGTGGCTGTGGAGCTGGTCAGGCTCCTAACAATACCTTGTTTTTTTTTTTTACTCCACAATAATAAAAGTGAATTATTCAAGTTCTGTCTCCTGGTACCACTGATCTATCAGAGCAGAAAGCAGGTATAAAAGCAGCATTTATGCAGCCGAGACATAATATATTGAGGCATTTTGTCTTCAGAGCAGATTATGTTTGTTGGTGTAAGGCTGTTATGTTGTGTAAGTTTTCACAACACTAATGCCTAAATGTGTTTGATGCTGTGAAATTAGTAGGGAGCTAATAAAGCTGCTGAAAAGCGCTGAGACATTGTTCATTGTGGTGCTGTCACCATCACAGTTTGAGTGTCAAACACGACACATGTGGCAACCTCACTGAAAATCCATGGCCTCCGTAACTGAGCTTGTGTTTGGCACCAAGACTGTGACACGTTAATACATCTGATGAGTCTATTCAATGTTTTAATCAGACAATCTGCAGAAGAATAAAGGCCACAGCTCTGAATAATGATTCATTTCTTCAGCAATTTTTCAAGCAAACTTCCCCAACTGTTTCTGACTAAAGGTGTATTAAACTTAATTAAAAATTCACAATCAGAAATCAGACAATATTTTCCATTTAAAAAGCTTTGTTACAGCTAAACATGACTGGGAGAGGAGATTCCAGGATTTCTTTATCCAGAAGACAATAAGCTGCTGGGATTTCATTTACTACTGTATGAGAACAGAAAAACATAAACTACTACTGTATTCAAAAAGGTAATAATGTCTTTCTTAAAAAAATAAAATAAAATTAAACTTACCATAGGTCATAACCATGACACCACTATGTATTTTCCACTTAAATCCAGTTAAAGACCAGATGGTCATTGACCCCTCACACATTTTTATCTTTAAATGAATCTCCTATGCAACCAAGAGAAAAGCTTATAATGTCTATTCGATGATTTACTGTCTCATTGTGATTTTTTACCTCTCTGGTAGTTGGCCCTTACTTTAAACCAGACAGAAAACAATTATTTCATTTCTAGGACAGGCCCACAGGAACAGTTTTACAGGCTGGTTAGTTACCGGCCACAAACAGTGGCGCTTCTCAACTGCAAGCTGCCAAAAAAAGTCCATATGGTTGTACTTTTGGCCACTGAGAGGTTCAATTAGAGCAGTAGGGGCTTAAGTACCTTGTTTAATGGCATCTTAACATTACAGATTAAAGACAAGACAGACATCTTTTATTTAGTTTTTCTGTCATTGTTCTCAGCAGGAAGTTTAAGCCACTGACCTTCAAGTTGCCACTGCAGTCCCCAAACCTTCAAACTCACTCCCACCTCTCTCCCCCACTTTCTGTTTTACTTCTTATCTTTTCTCACACAGATACACATACACACACATACACACCAGTGCCTGATCCCCAGTCAGTTTCAACTTCAAAAGACTGCTGTATTGCAGCAGTTATTGGTTCCTGTCTTTTGTCTTTTGTGCCCTGAGAGATTTAAAAGCTAAACAACCAGTTGTGTTTTTATCAAAGCTTCTTCAGTTTGTCTGTCAGTCAGAAAGCTCTACAGTCAGTACCAGGGGGAAAATTCAGATAAGAGAGAGATATGAGATATGTCCACCCGTAACTTTGTGCTGAGTATCGACTAAAACAAAACAAAGCCCAAATAATAAAGTACATCTTTATTTGCTTTTATGAAAACAAAAGATCTATCTGGTGACCTGACATGATACAGCTATTTCCACCTCCTGCTTCAGTCTTGCATTGCTCAGCTTCAGTCCAGACATAAAAGGCTTTTTAACAACAACGCATGATTGTCTTCTAAAATAAAACTTAAACACTTGAGAATGCTGTGTGTTCTATAAAACATCTTCCCCTGACTGTACAAAGACACTACAGTGTGTGGATTTGTTATCTACAGTATCAATTTATTAACATCACATCCATCTGGCTACTTATTCAACACAGGAACATTTGAAAAGAGTTAAGCAATAAAAGACAGTTTCATCTTTTCCTTTTTGATTGTATCCAGGCTTGTACCTGTATAAGACCTGTATCATCATAGTCATATGTTTTTCTATGTGCATCCTGCTCCAGTTCTGACCAGCAATGTTACTCTGATGGATACATGGGCATCGGCACAGTTATTCACAAAGAAAACTTTACATAAGTGGCTTCAATGGATAATACATTATATTAGCCAGTGATCATGCATTTTTCTGAACATAACAGTTCTCATTTTCTCCATGATGGTAAAACATAGATAAAACTTTATCTCAAGAAAAATGTGGTTTGGCCCTGAAAAGTCCCAACACAGGCCATATGTAGTATTTGTAAAGAACATTTTAATGCTGAGATACCATCTGCAGTCAAACGTCTTGTCTCAAGATTTTTATCAAAATGATAAAACACGAAAACAGTGTTGCTACAGCTAATTGTCTGTAAAAGATAACTTGTTCTTCCCTTATGACCTTTAATTCAATTAATTTTAAATTCAATTAAAAAAATGTTGTTTATCTCCAAGGGACAATTAAAAGAGGCACAGGGGGATACATAAAAAATACAAGAAAAAACTAGCAAATAGTCATCACAAATGACACTTAATGGTCTGACTGTTGACTCGCTGCTCTACCCCTCTGTTTTGACATGAAATGTGTTTTATGCTCACCCATTAGCTGAAGGTGGTTTGCTTCTTTAAGCCAGGCCAAACCTTTTGAGACTAGAAGATAAATTTTCTCACCAGCTGCCTGAGATCTACCACATGACACAAATGTATAAAAATTGCTCATCGTCAGAAGCTGATTGCGAACCAGTGGGTGTCAATCAGTTATGGTAGATCTAAAATTTGGTTTGATGATCTAAATGTGAGAGAATACAGACTGAATCCAAAGAGCACTGTTAAGTTAAAAGAACATCTTCTGAAGTGGGGATATTTTCCCTTCAACAGGTTCCAGAGGAGTCACCTCAAACCAAATGTTAGACTGGATTTTATTTCAATGTCATTTGTGAACTTTAGCTCCCCACTTTCAATAGTGGAACTATACAGCTTGAAAATGCTTGTAATTTTGGAGAAAATCTCATTAACATCAATATTTCCACTAAATAAGAGACGAAAAATAATTAGCAACATCTTTGAGAGAAAAAAACCCAGGAGGTTATAAGTGCCCATATCCTTTGTCTATGGTCCCAATACATTTCCAAACACTCACCTGACATATTCCATGAGCAGGTCTTTACTTTACAACCCATTAACTTCCTAAAGCCAAGGAAAAACTATAAGTACTGTGTTCATTTCCTGTTTTGGTGATCATGTCACAAAACTATTTTTGGTTTGAAAAAAACCATCACAATGCAAAACAAAAACCATCTTTCATTTAATTTCATTTTCATTCAATTATTGATGTATTGTTTGGTGCTGTGTGGGAGACGGGAACTACAGTTTTCCTGAGGGTAAATCCCAAAGGGATTAATAAAGTTTTCTATCTATCTATCTATCTATCTATCTATCTATCTATCTATCTATCTATCTATCTATCTATCTATCTATCTATCTATCTATCTATCTATCTATCTATCTATCTATCTATGTGTCATACACAAATGACACATCACTGATGTGTGTTATTCCAAATGCCAAACATTTTGAACACAAAAACGGTGACCAGGTGTAGGTGACTCACCTTATCAGCCATTATCATAGAGGAGCCTCCATGAACACCCAAAACTGGAAGCTGTGTCTGAACAGACAGGAAGTCTAGGATCTGGGCGATGGCCTCCTGATCGGTGCCATCAGCAAACACAAGGCCATGGAGACCTTCACGAGACACAAGCCCACAAACCTGAGACAGAGAGAATAAACCCAAGTTTCAACCAAAGGAGTTTACACACATGCCAGGACTGCACAATATATCTTCAATCCATCCATCCATCCATCCATCCATCCATCCATCCATCCATCCATCCATCCATCCATCCATCCATCCATCTTCTCCTTATCCTGGGTCGGGTCGCAGGGGTAACAGCCTAAGAACCGAGGCCCAGACTTCCCTCTCCCCAGCCACTTATTCCAGCTCCTACAGGGGAATCCCAAGGCATTCCCAGGCCAGCCGAGGAACATTGTCCTTCCAGCATGTCCTGGGTCTTATCCGGGGCCTCCTCCGGATGGGACATGTCCGGAACACCTCACGAGGGAGGCGTCCAGGAGGCATCCTAACCAGATGCCCAAGCCACCTCAACTGGCTCCTCTCGACGTGAAGGAGAAGTGCTCTACTCTGAGTCTTTCATGGATTTCTGAGCTTCTGAGAAAACTAATTTTAGCCACTTGTATCTGCGACCTTGTACTTTTGGTCATGACTAAATACTCATGACCATAGATGAGGGTAGGAATGTAGGTTGACCAATAAATCTGGTGCTGAACTGCTTCCCCCTCCTGAGACACCAGATGGTGGACCAGAATCACCCCGAAGCCGTGCAGAAGTCTTTTTCCATGGCCATTCCAAACTCCTCCCACACCCTAGTTTTTGCCACAGCAACCACCGGAGCAGCATGCCGTTTGGACTGAGGAACTGCTCCAATGATCTGAACTCATCAGCTGCTTCCGGGTCTCACAGGCCAAATAGGCCCAGTAGGACTCCTTCTTCAGCCTGACAGCATCGCTCACTGAAGGTGTCCACCACCTTCAGTGAGGGTTGCCACCGTGACAGACTACATTGTGGCCAAAGCTCCAAAAAGCTGCCTCGACATTGGAGGCACAGAACATGGTCCACTCTGACTCAATGTCCTCCACCTCTCCCTGTGTTCAAAGTTCTGCCAGAAATGGGAGTTAAAGGTCCATCTCACAGGAGACTCTGCCAAACATTCCCAGCAGACTCTCACAACATGTTTGGGCCTGCCAAGTCTGACCGGCCGGCATCCTCCCCAACCACCAGAGCTAACTCACCACCATGTAGTGGTCAGTGAATAGTAACAGTGGCTGTGGAGAGGTGACATTCCACGTCCCAAGAGCCAGCTTCTGAAACTGAGGATTGCATCGCCAGGATCCCCTCCCCCAGCTACCACCCATCCCACACAGCACCTTTCACCCCTTCCACAGGTGGTGAGCCCATGGGAAGGGGGACCCATGTCTCCTCTTTGGGCTGAGCATGGCCGGGCTCTATGGGTAAAACCCCAGCCACCAGGCACTCACCAATGTGCACCAGCTCCAGTCCTGTTTTGTGATAACCACAGAACAACAGAAGGGGACCCCTTTGAACTTTTGTTAGTTTTAAGTTTAAAAGATTATTTTGTTGCCCAAGGGTGTCAGAAGGTTTGTTGTCAAATGTGTGATTCTTTAAAATACTTAAGGATGTAAACCATTCTCACCTCTATGATTACAGACTTTGGGTCTGTCTGGTTGATCTTCAGGATGAACACAGAGGTTTCCAGTGGATCATCAGGGCGTTGAGGAGGCTGAAGGTTCTGGTCAGCTACTGGGCGTGTCTGGCCTAGAATCACACCCACCTTGAGTTTTGGAGGCTTTTGAGATGCCACGGGCATCGTGACTGAGAAGAGTAGGACCAAGGTCCAGCCCACTACACCCATCATACCCTACAGAACACAGAAAGGCAAATGGTAAGAATTAAATCAATACTTTTGTCCTCAAAAAACTGTGGCATTAAATGTAAATTCTGAATTGATATGATTTGTGTTCTTCAACACATTAAATAAACTCTGGAAAACATGGAAGAAAATATAGAAAACAGACTGAGAAATTAACAGCATTTCCTTCAAGAAAAATCTCTGAACATTTTAATAATTTTTGAGCTAACAATGATCAGCTACACACCATCTGAAGGGAAATATCATTATAGTAAGTGTCTGTCAGAAAATGAGGTACAGCCAATATAAAAAAAAACAATTTTATCATTTTGTAATCAATGATAAGTGCCATTACAACAAAAAACAGTTGCATGGACAATTGCCTCAGTTTTTAACACTCCAGAGTGTTACCTTTTAGAAAATAAGGTAATTGGTCTGAGGAGGCTTGCTTAGTGCCAGAGCTGGAGAAAACTGGATGGGAGGTCCCACTAGTTCAGAAGAATTTTGTTTTGTCTGGAAAGACAGTCTCACGATACACATTAAGTTTTTTTTGTAGTGCTACAAAAGCATATTTGTTATTAGAAGAGAAAAAGAAAAACACAATGTTGCTTTTTCAGCGCTATTTCCAGGTCAATAAAGCAGTTAAGACTTCACAAGCTCCTTCATAAAAAAGAAGATGCTTTCATTAGTGACAAAATTCCCTACATAATTTGTGTAAGGCATAGCTGGCTTTTACAGTTGCTATTTTCATAACTTTACTTAAGAAGACTGCATCTACTTTGATGTTTTTGTATGAAAAAAGTGGCAAAGGCAAATAAGTTTGTGAGTGGTTGAACTAAAATAATGTGTGGAAGACATAAGTATTTGGAAAAACTATTGCAAGCTTTGCTAACAGGAAACAAGGTTCCTTTATAGTTATTTAAAGGGTACAACTGCAAAAGCTACATGAAATAAAAGAACACAACTACCATTGTTTGTTTATATTAATCTACTAAGATTAATATTTCATGTGAAGCAAGTAACCTCAACTTTGTTTTTCTCCTAGAGTTCTGCAGAGATGTCCATTTGAGTCTTTGAGGTGTTCCTGTTATGTTCCGTGTTTCTGTGTGTTTATTTTTGAGTTTCTGTGTAATCCTGTTTTCCTGTGAGTCTCTGTCCTTCCCCGTTGATTGCTCCCCAGGTGTGTCTCGTTTCCCTTAATTCCCCCGTGTGTATTTAAACCCACCTGTTGTCTGTGTTCCTCGTCGGGTCCTCGTCGTTTGTCAGTTGTCTGACGTCTAGTCTTCGCTCCAGTTGAACTGTTAAGTCCTGGATAGCGTTAGCTCTAGTGTCTATGTCGTAGTCATTGTCTATTGTATGTCGTCTACACTCTCCAGTCGAACTGCTAAGTCCTGGTCGGTGTTCGCTCGCACAAAGTCCTGTCGTTCAGTTGCTACCGGTATTTGGTCTCTCTGCCGTGCTGCCTGTTGGACTGTTTGAGCATCTTCATTAAATATCTTCATCTTCACCATAACCTGGGTCTCAGCGTCTCTCCTCACCCCCAACACCCACACCTTACGACAGATCCAAAGGATATTTTAAGCATATATATAATTTTTTTCTTTTCTGCCTGGTTTCATGTGTCAATTAATAATTCCAAAAATACAGCAACTTCCAGTATTAAGGACAAGGTAACCAAGTCTAAATCTAAAAAATGTAAACTTCAAATACAAAAGAGTCATGAAAAATCTGCTGAGGTATTTGCAAACCTGTGGTCTCATGTATAAACCATAATGATCAGTAGGGATGTGTTGGTGATGGTTTATTATCCCCAGCCTTAAAGAAGGAGCCGTGCGTTAACAGTACCGGTGCAGCTGGAGCTGCTGCCTGGTCAGACAGTCATCCCTCAACATGTCTTTATGAATAGAAAGCATTTTAATGTAGTAAATGTGCAACTTAGATTTGCAATAGTTCCTAATAAATGCAGTGGCACGCTGGCCTTGTCCAACACATGCTTCCTCTTTGTGAAATAACTTGTAGTCTTCAAATTCCAGCTGAAAGCTCTGCTGTTCAAACAGTATTAACACTTGGATTAATCAATACTATTTTTTGTTATGAAGTTTACTATGTTTCTTTATTGTTGTTGAGATGACCTTGTGTGCTATGAAAGGCACCTTTTAAATAAAATATGTTTTATTAGAATTACTTGTATTACTACAAGCAGGGACAGTTGCGATGGTTATTTGGACACGTGGTGGGCGTCTTCTGAGTATTTATACCAATTCACAAATGGGTATAAATGTATGGGTGGGGACAGGGCAATCCATGTGGCACCAGCAGCTGTGCTCCATTTCACTGAATTTGGAATGTATAAATGAAAGTTGTGCAGCCAAATGTGTGCGCACTGCTTCACACATCAGAATTTTTTTTGTGCGTTGCACTTTTCAAAATTTGTCCCTACAAAGTTGTGCATTCTTTTACACATGAGACCCCTGGTGAGCAACTACAAGAAATGTGTTACTGCTCCACTCGTAGTATGCTAAGCTTAAAAGAAAAGTAGAAAGATATTCATGTAGTATGCACTGCTTATGCAGAACTTTATAGGAATTATGACTCTTAATAAAATCTCCAGTGTCTCGTCTTGAAAGGCTTTGAAACCTCCCAGGTTTCTTAGATTGTCTTGAAGTTATCTTGATTTACAAATTCAATTATGAGTTCAAGTGTCATGTACAACAGCAAAGATTAACAATAAGATAAGTAAGTATAAGATGAAGCAGGAAATATCCTGTCCTAGTTCTGCCTTTTACGTTTTAGATATTTCCTAAGTTAACATCAAAAAGACTGACCATTTTAAGATGAGGGTTAAACTTAACTTTCCCTGCTAAACCTCTTATAGGGCTTCATGAGATGCCCTAATCTCTCTTCCGGTGTCTGCCTTTATTTGAACGTAATCTATGCCTGCAGGCAATGTGCACAGTAAAGTGCCAGCGATTAATGGATAAAATAACCCTGAAATAAATGTAATCTGATTTTACCTCATTCGTGGGGTGTAGAGGGGAAAGTTTCCACATTGCTGAAGGCACACAAGTGTCTGCATCAATCAATAACATTTACTGTAATGAAAAAAAAAGCGTGTCTTTCAATGGCATCTACTAAACGGAGTACCAGTCTAACTCAGAGGAGAGTGAGCTGGAGTTCCCAGTTTCAACACACACTCTGTTACCTTTCTCTGTAATGAGAGCAGATCTGAAAAGCAGCAGATGAGTTGAGGAAATGCAGTGTGAAATGCCTGGGGCTGAATGGGAGCTAATGAAACCATGATGTGAATGCTACATTGCATCTCAGCCAATTTTTACACCACCACAGTCCAGCAGAGCTGAAAAAGCACCCCAGGAGGAAACATCCCAAATTCAAAATTAAGTTACTTCTTCCAGATTTCTTCATCTTCCAGCTCCCTTCTTTTTGTCCATGCATCCATACAGTATCTGTACATCTTTCTCTGGGAAATCTCCTGATGTGTGTGCATGAGTGTTTTTTTTGTTTGTTTTTTTTATACTGTGTTTCCAGTTGGATGAGTGTGTGTATGATCCATGTCATCTTACACCCCGTCTAATCAGGTCAATAAGGAAAGTCAGTGTGTTTCAGTGTGCTCTATCTGCCCTGGTGCCCACAGAGTAGCCTTTAGCTCCAGCAGCACTTAGCATACGCTGCTAGATCACACAGAGCTGCACTCCTGACTGAAAGAGTTAGTGTCAGTTTTTACCAAACAGGACAAGGCTACACAAACTTTTTTCAGGAGTCAGCCTCAGCACTAACACTGCCAGGAACCAAAGTGTGCTCTGACATGGTTTGTATAAGGGTTAGGTATCAAGGAGGGTTACAGCTAATGACAAACAAACATTAAGTTGCTGAGACACTTATAATATTATCCCAGTTAAAAAAGATCTTTAATTGGGAGTCCTAATTTATGGGCTGTACATTCATGTAGAAAACAGTAAACCTGACTGTTCTCGACAAGAACTGACAGCCTCCACACAAAGGGTAAACCATAAAGCGTCATAGCTAGAAAAACATCTTCTCTGAGTTTTGCATCAAAGTATGTTAATGTCAATGTGAAAATTAATTTTTGATTAATGATATCATGCAAATAACAATATGCAACATAAAATAAATGATTGCATAAATATTCACCCTCTTTAAAGTGGCTGACCTAATTCAATAATGATCCAGCCAACTGGTGCTTGTGGTCTCACAATGAGTGAAATGGCGATCAGCTGAGTGCAGTGAGTGTGTCTGAAGTGACACACCTGGGTCTGGAAGGTCCATTCACTGGGTTATCAGTGTTTCTCGCTACAATTAAAACATGACGACTAACGAATACCCCAAGCAAGTCAGAGAAAAGATTACTGAAACTTACAAGTAAGGGGATGGATACATAAAAAAATCTCTCAGGCACTGAACATCCCCTGGATTTCAATTAAATTCACCATCTGGAAATGGAATAAATACAGCACGTTTGTTTTTTGTTTTTTTTTTGGGGGGGGGGGGTGGCCTAGATCAGACCCTCCTCACAAACTGAGTGAGAACAGCCATGCAAAAAGGACACTAGTGAGAGAACACTAGGTCACCATGACTACGCTGAAGAACTTACAAGTTCCAGCAGCTGAGGTGAAAGATACTCAGCATACAACAACTTTTGTCTGAGTTCTTCACTAGTCAAACTCTTTCTTGAAAGTGACAATGAGAAAACTTCTGTTGAACAAAACTCAAGACGCCATGGTCAAACGCAAAGAAGGTATTTGGTGTGATGAGATCAAAGTGGAGCTTTGTGGCCAGAAAAAACTATGTTTGACACACACCAAACACTGCACATTACCACAAACACACTATCCCCAATGTGAATTTTTATGGTGGCAGCATTTCACCTTTTTAGCAGCAGGCCCTAGAAGGCTTGTAAAAGTAGAAGATAAAATCAATGCAGCAAAATATAGAAAAGTCATATATAAAAAATTTTATACCTAAAAGATGCCTAAATCTACACA